ACATTATAAGATTCTTCTCTTAAAGAAGAAAAGTTTAAGGGCACTAACTCTCTGGCAGACTTGGAGGAAAGAAACGTGGGGCATAGATGGAGCCCCTGAGAGATATGGACAAGATGATTTCCAATTTCAGTGGCGACATCAAGAGGGTTTGCTACAGTGACATCGGAATCCTGAAGAATGGGAGCCGGGTCGGGGGAGTATTTACCACTCAGTTTCCATACTTTTTTCCAGACTGCACTCACAGAGGAAGCCGAAGTGATGGTAGAAACATAATCCCGCCAGCAAGTGTGTTTAGCGTCACGGATGACACGTCGGGTGACCACTTTCTTCTGCTTAAAGTCAAAGAGTTGCTCTGTGGTTCTATTGTACTGGTACCTGTACACACAGCACGTTTCAAACGTACTGCCCAAGAACAAGCAGGAGACCACCAAGGCACGCACCTCTGAGAATGCCTGCCCGAGGTTTGGGGTATAGAATGTGAAGCTGCGGTTAAAACTGAGGTTGAAAAGAGGTGTAAAAGCTCATCAGTGGAGGACAAAGAAGGATCCTCACTAAGAGTAGTTTGATGTGAGTAAAGGTCCCAATTCGCTCAGTCAAATTGCCAGTGTGGGCTACAAGGAGGTGGTGAATATGAAGGAGAAGTAAGGATGATTGGAAAATGATCACTGTCATGCAAATCCAGGAGGACAGACCAGGTAAAGTCTAGTACAGTTGAGGAAGAGCAAACCCAGATATCACTGCAAGAGAAAGAATGTGTATGAGGATCAAAATGGGTGGGAGAACCCGTATTTAAAACATGGAGGGGGAGGGAAGCGAGAAAAGCCTTCAACTGAATGCTGCAGGAGCCACAGTGAGACCCTTTCCCCAAAAGTAGTGGTGGTAAGGAAGAAATCAGCAGTGCAACATCTGGGATAGATAATGCCTGAGAAGGATAGATATACAAAGAACAGATTGTATACAACTTATTCAAGTGGATGCGAGCTGCAGTGTAATGCAGCAAAGTACGAACAAAGAGCTGATGGTATGGAATACTTGTGCATATAAGAAGTGCACTTTCATTAAAGGTTCCATCGGGAAAAGGATCCGATGACTATAATAAAGCATAGCCCGAGATGAAATAGAAAATAGCAGAGCGCAATTTGGGTTCTTGTAAACAAACAAAAATGGGAAAACCTGGAGAGCAACACCTGAAGCTCACCCCGTTTACCTCTGGGGGCCACAGATATTCCACTGTAAATAAGCCATGATTTGAAAAGAGAAAGGTAAAAGAAATCTGAATGTAAAGGTATCTATGGACTAGAAGGGTTAAAAAAGTTCACATGTGGAGGCAGCGGAAAACGCATAAGCAGCAAAGAATTGGGACACTGAAGAAAGGAGTCAGGCAGATGGAGAAGAGCGAAGAGGAGGAACGGGTGGGGGTTCAGTGTTCATCAATGGCCTAATCTCCTCAATATATTCAGAGATAGTTTCAAGTGTTTCAGAGGACGAGGACGTTGTATTTGTAACAATATGGGAGATGGAAGGGGGAGGGCGAGTAAAGATCGAGGCAACGATTGAATGTACCACAGTAGGGGAGGACGAAAGGGTAGAGGGAACTGGAGAAGCAGCATGGGAGAGGACAGGAGAGGAAGCGACCTGGGAGGGGGCAGAAGAGGAAGAAATCTGGGAGGGGTGAGGGGGTGACCACAGAGGAGGCTGTGGAAATTGGGACCCTGGAGGAGGGGGGTCATTTAGTAACTTGAGAATAAGAAATATAGGGAAGTCTCCCATGGAGGCACAGATGAGAGACTGCCATAGCATAAGGAAAGCCTTCTGCCTCTTTGAGAAACCAGATGGGTAAGCCTCATGACAATCAAGGCAAGAAGGAGGGAGGTAGACTACAAGACATATTGGTATTGTCTTTGGCACCACAGACTGGGCATTCGGCCATGGACCTGCAATATTTCACTGGATGACCAAAACGCTAGCAATTTCTACACTGCCGAGATGTAGGGATCGCCTTTCGAACTTGTAAATAGTGTCCCGCAATATAAGCCGAGGACGGAAGCTCACGCCACATTGCAAGGGTATCGTCTCCGCCTGCGGGCAGGGAGGACATAAGTGTCTACTTTGAAGACTGGGAGGTCTTGGAGCTCAAGCTGTTCCAGAATGTCATCACCATATGTCTGGAAATTCTGTTGGACAATGGTATGAGTTAGAATTACAGTACCACTACAAGAATTGAGAGAATAATGTTTTTCAGTAGTTACAGGAATAGCATCTACGGTTTTAAGGAGAGAAAGAGCACGAGCTTGGCTAGCACTCTGTTCCATGACGATGCGTGAACCGCTTTTGCGAGCATGAAAGGACACATCTCGACCAACATGGCGTAGGAGCGCCTTGCCAATACTATGACTGAAAAGATAGTCAGGAGAAGAAGTCGGTCGCAGAGTAGAAATCTTAGTGCATTGTGTATTCTGAAACATAGCGTGTAAGGGTAGGGAGTGTCATGCTAGTCTTCTCTGGGCAGAATGAGAAGGAAGCAAAGGAGTATCATCAGGTAATAATCTTTGGTGTTTAGGTGTGGGACTGGAATCACAAGAACACAAGATAGAAGGAACACTGCAGCAGGCCTACTGGCCCGTGCAAGGCAGGTCCAATTCTCCCACTGGCTTATGCCAATGCCTTGACCTAGTGAGGTCAGAAACGTCACTTAAGGGAGGAGCACAGCATCCGACCTAGTAGCACAAGCTAGTCAGGTCCAACTCACACCCACTCATGTATTTATCCAACCTATTTTTAAAACTACACAATGTTTTAGCTTCTATGACAGTACTTGGGAGTTTGTTCCACTCATCCACAACTCTATTACCAAACCAGTGCTTTCCTGTAACCTTCCTGAATCTGAGTATTTCCAATTTAAAACCATTGTTGTGAGTCCTGTCTATGTTAGATATTTTTAGCACGCTATTTACATCCCCATTATTAATTCCTGTTTTCCATTTATACACCTCAATCCTTTTTTTTTTCAACAAGTCAGCCATTTCCCACCGAGGCAGGGTGACTCAAAAAGAAAGAAAATCCCCAAAAAGAAAATACTTTCATCATCATTCAACACTTTCACCTCACTCACACATAATCACTGCTTTTGCAGAGGTGCCCAGAATACAACTGTTTAGAAGCATATAAGTATAAAGATACACAACATATCCCTCCAAACTGCCAATATCCCACAACCCCTCTTTTAAAGTGCAGGCATTGTACTTCCCATTTTCAGGACTCAAGCCTGGCTATATAAAACTAACCGGTTTCCCTAAATCCCTTCACTAAATATTACACTGTTCACACTCCAACAGATCGTCAGGTCCCAAATACCATTCGTCTCCATTCACTCCTATCTAACACGCTCATGCACGCTTGCGGGAAGTCCAAGCCCCTCATCCACAAAACCTCCTTTACCCCCTCCCTCCAACCTTTTCGAGGACGACCCCTACCCCGCCTTCCTTCCCCTACAGATTTATATGCTCTCCATGTCATTCTACTTTGATCCATTCTCTCTAAATGACCAAACCACCTCAACAACCCCTCTTCAGGCCTCTGACTAATACTTTTACTAACTCCACACCTTCTCCTAATTTCCCCCTAATTCTACACCTTTCTGGAGAGTTTAGACTCAGGGCCCTCAGTCTACCCTCATAGGGAAGATTTCTGATACATGGGATCAACTCTGTTATCTTCCTTTGTATGTTTTCCAGTGCATTTATATCCATTTTGTAATATGGTGACCAAAACTGTGCAGCATAATCTAAATGAGGCCTAACCGAAGATATAGAGAGTTGAAGAAGAACCTGAGGACTGCTATTATTTATACTTCTTGCTATGAAGCCAAGGATTCTGTTAGCTTTCTTGCCAACACTTATGCACTGTTGTCTTGGTTTCAGATTATTGCTAACCAGAACTCCTAAATCCTTTTCGCAATACGTAATATTAAGATCTACATTATTTAGTTTATATGTGGCATGGTTATTTTCTTGCCCAACATTTAGAACTTTGCATTTGTCTAAATTAAACTTCATCTGCCACTTCTCCAACCACTGCATCCGTCTATTCAAATCATCCTGGAGTGCTTTAAAGTCCTCATTAGAATGAACTGCACGGCCTATTTTGGTGTCATCAGCAAATTTGCTTATGTCGTTATTTATTCCCTCATCTGTCATATATGTAAATTGTGAACAACAAAGGGCCCAACACTGACCCCTGTAGAGTTGGTCCGACGTAGGATGCACGGGCAATCCGAAAATCGCCGCACCATAGAGGGGGAAGCCAGAAGCATGGTCAAAGAAGTGCAGAATTCAAATGTATCAAAGGAGTCGGGCAGAACCCAGGTACCTGGAGCAGGTGATGAAACGGCACCAGAAGGAGGTACAGGGGCATTAGAAATATCTGAACAGTGGTCAAATAACGAGGCAGGGTCGAAACAAGGTGTGGTAGCAAAAAGGGGCCCAGGGGGAGCTGTTTCATGGATTTGGGACTCCATGGTTGTCACTTCTTTGTTTTGTTTTTTAGAAATGGAAAAAAAATAATAAAAAAAGGGGGTGGGGGGAACATGGAGAGAGAGCTCCTAGGAGGAACGAAAGGGCAGTAAATCCCCTTCCACGTCCAAGAGGACCCCAGCACTGCAAGTAGTGCAGATGTGGCATGAAACCCATGCCATACCCTACCCTTCATGACAGTAAACCAGCAATCTGGGATAGCAACCTCACATCTACCAAGCCACCTCAGTGGACAAGAGAGGGTGGCTGGATGCCTGCCACAAAGCATACCTCCTTTGGCTACCACCCCTCAGAATCTAAAAGGCAGCTTCCAGAGATACATTCAAAAGACACCCAAAGCCACCCCCCAGGAGACCAAAGAGGGAGTGGGATATCCCAAGGTGATCCAGATTCCATGGCCAACTACACCACCACCACGGACCTCAACAGAATGGGATGGACCACGGTACCCTTCTCCCTACCTAGGAACTAGAGTGCCTGTGGAAAGAATCCCAAAGGCTGAAAACAGTAAGGGGATAGAGGAGGGATGGGGAGAGGAGGAGGAAAGGGAAAAGGGGGGATGGGGAGAATGGGATAGGGAGGTAATTAGGTTCGGTCAGAGTTAGAAGATCACAAGGTCTAATTCCTCAGACCAAGAGCCTCTTCAACATGCGAAGGAGCCCCCCTTGAAGAGGATGGTTTTCATCAGCATATATTTTTAGTCAAGTACTGTACAGCATAAGACAGGTTTTAAATGTTAATTTGTACAATAAAAAGAAATTTACATTATTTCAAAAAGGCAAAAATTAATAGCTAAGTAAATATTAAACAAATACAGCACTTTGTACTCAGGATACTTACTCTTTTGACTTTACAGACAGGTCCATTTGAGTCGTTGGAGTCTGAGGCAGGCTGGCCTGCATGAAAGGCAAAGTTGTGAATACTCGG